TAATCCTCTGCCCAAGCAGGAGTTCCTACACCATTTCTGACAGATGTCAGTCCAGTCTCTTCTTGAAAGCCTCCAGTGATGAAGCACCAACAACATCTGAAGGCAGTCTGTTCCATTGGTTGATTGTTCTCACTGTCAGAAAATTTCTGTTAGAAAATTTTCTAGGTTGAATCTTTCCTTGATCAGTTTCCATCTATTATTCCTCGTCTGGCCTTCGGGTGCTTTGGAAAAAGGTTGACCCCCCTCCTCTCTGTGACAGTCCCTCAAATATTGGAACACTGCTATCATGTCTCCCCTGGTCCTTCTCTTCACTAGACTGGCCATGCCCAGTTCCTGTAACCATTCTTCATATGTTTTAGCCTCCAGTCCCCTAATCTTCTTTGTTGCTCTTCTCTGCACTTTTTCTAGAGTCTCAACATCTTTTTTATAGTATGGAGACCAAAACTGGTAACAGTATTTTAGGTGTGGTTTAAAGAGCGGTATTAGTACCTCACATGATCTTGATTGAATCCCTCTGTTAATGCAACTTAGGATTGCATTGGCTTTTTGGGCTGTCACCGCACACTGTTGGCTCATATTTAATTGATTATCCACTAAGACTCCAATATCCCTTTCACAGTTACTGTTATTAAGCCAGGTTTCACCCAATCTATATGTGTACTTTTGGTTTTTCTTGCCTAAGTGTAAGACTTTACTTTTCTCTACGTTGAATTTCATTTTGTTAGATAGGGCCCAATGTTCAAGTCTATCAAGATCCACCTGGATCTTGAGCCTATCATAGGTGTTGGCTATTCCTTCCAGTTAGTGTCATCAGCAAATTTGATCCCTTTCTATTCCCTCATCTAGGTTGTTTATGAAGATATTGAAGACTACTGGGCCTAGGACAGAACCTTGTGTACCCCACTGTTACTTCCCTCCATGTAGACATAGTACCATTAAGAATTACTTGTTGAGTGCAGTTTGTCAGCCAGTTAAGAATCTATCTGATGGTGTTGGAAATGTAAGCATAACTCAGACACATATTATCATGTTTGGTGGACATGTGACAAAGCAAAGGCTTAATGGAAAAAGATACATACTTGGTTAGAAAAGATATTGGGAGAACATGTGGTTTTAAACCTGAACTTTTCTTATTAGGTATATTGCCAGAAAAGATTAACAAACAAAGCCTATATTTGATTCTACACGTCACAACAGCAGCAAGAATAATATTCGCGCAATATTGGAAAAATGAAGGATTACCACCAGAGGAAGAAATAATCAAAAAAATATTGGAATGTGCAGAGATGGACAGATTAACCATGAGACTGAAAGATAAAGAAGAAACAAACTTGGGACTTATTTTATCGATGGCTAGAGGAAAGAATGAAGGATTAGGAACTGAATATGTATTAGCATTTTTAAACCCAGACAGCACGTTGGTTGAAAAATTAATATATGTATGTAAGAGAAAATCAATACAATCTTTATATAAAAAAAGAATCTATCTGATGGTGATGCTGTCTATCCCACTTTTTTTTAAGCTTTCCAAGAAGTAGGTTGTGGTCTACTTCATTGAATGCCTTGCTGAAGTCTAAGTATACTATGTCCACAGCATTCCCCTGGTCTACTAATTTAGTTATTTGATCAAAAAATGAAATAAGATTGGTTTGGCATGATCTATTTTTAACAATCCTGTGCTAACTTCTAGTTATAATTTTCTTTGTTTCTAGTTGTTCGCAGATCTGTTTTTTATTATCTTTTCCAGTATCTTTTCAGGTATTGATGTAAGGCTGATGGGTCTGTAGTTTCCTGGATCTGTTTTATTCCTTTTTTGAAGATGGGAACCACATCAGCTCTTTTCCAATTTTCTGGTAGTTCCCCAGTGCTCCAGGATTTTTGAAAGACATGGTACAGTGGTTCTGAGATGACATGTGCCAGCTGTTTCAGAATTCTGGGATATAGTCCATCAGCTCCCAGTGATTTATGTTTATCAAAATCAGACAGGTGTTCTCTTATCATTTTTTTGGTTTCTTTTAACTTTTATTTCTAGTCTGTCTTTTTCAGTGATGTTTTTGGTGGGTTTGGCTATAATTTCTTTTTGTGTGAAAAATCAATGTTTTGATAATGAAAGTTTAATCTTCTTATCTGATTTTAAGTGGGCTAGAAAATATATACAACACAACAGCAATGCAATGCAATGTTTCACTTGCAGACTAAAATATTGGGGAATATTCAGAGTATTCTTATGTATTTCATGTCCAAACTCAATCACCACCTCCATTAGAGGACCAGAAGTAAAGTTATTTATTCATTTAGAACTGCTACCCTTTTGTGCTCTTTCTTTTTCATTGGAGTTTCAGAACCAAGATAAAACCTACTAATTGGCATTTTCAGCCCAGTTTGATTGATCTGAACTTAAACAATTCTCCCACACGGAATACTGTTGATGAATTGTATCTACCAATTCATGTCTCAGATAATAAAACTATTTGACAAATATTAAGCTTGGTAGATGCTACCCTCCATCCTCTTTCATCTGTCCCAGTGTATTTTCCCTGTATACAATTGTTGCATTGTGATACTATGTGAATAAATATTGTGTGGTGTTCACTGTATTTATATCACTATCAAATGCCATTCCCTCAGTGTTGAAACTGTGGGCGAAATTGGAGATGTTTGAAAGATCACTTGTCTTTATGATGTTTGCATAGCCAAATGCCTAGTGGGAAGCCATGTAAACCTGTTCAGCTATTAAAATTAAATGTTTGTTGATGATTCATTGCTCAACTGTGTATGTGCATTGAAAATTAAGCAGCTTTGAACAGAATACCTCATTATTTTTCCCTCTGGTCAGGGATGTCAAGGAAGTAAAAAAAAGTCAAGATGGTGGCTACAGCAATCAAAGCATGGTCCTCTTTTTTTAATCTGCATTACCTCTGCCTGTGGTCAAAAAAGATGAATTGCAGGATAATCACAAATGTCCTGCTTTCTTTCTTCTATTATTTCAAATGAGGTTGACAGAAAATCTTTGAGAAATTGGCTGTATGAATTCAGGGATGCTGCCTCTAGATTAATTGTGCCACTGCTGGATTGGAACACACATAAAAAAAAGCTATAATAGAAAAAATATATTGATGGAGAAATAGGTTGCAGATTGTGTTATGCCATGTGAGTCATATCATAGGACCCTCTGGCCCCATCTATCAAGGGTTTACTTCTTCTTACAAATGAAGGTTATCAGCAAGTCCTAAAGCCCATTTCTTGAATATCTTTAATTACAAAGTTTGTTGTAATTATACTGTCCTTAATAGCCAAAGGCAATGATATAAACACATGATAAAAAAGCAGTGTGGCTATCAGCTCTTCAAGGTAATCCAGGTCAGGAAATAGATTCTACAGTGATTACTGGAATTTTATAGCAATAGCAATAGCACTTAGATTTATATGCCATTCCATAATGCTTTACAGCACTCTCTAAGAGGTTTACAATGTCAGCATATAGGCCCCAACAATCTGGGTCCTCATTTTAATGACCTGGGAAGGATGGAAGGCTGTGTCAACCTTGAGTCCTCAGGATCAAACTCCTGGCTGGGGGCAGAGGTAGCCTGCAATACTGCATTCTAACCACTGTGCCATCATGGCTCCTTTATTTTGTTGTTGCAGGCTTTATTTACAGAATTAGGAAAGCCTGGCAGAGATTTCCCCTCCTTCCCCATTTAAACCAAGGAGAATCCAGCTGAGGCAATTCTGAGTTTCTTTCTCACTCCTTCTCTCTTTCCAGAACCAAACTGGTGTTTATGTAAGAAAACCTGTAGAATACCTTCTTTAAAGCCATCTCCCTACATCTCTACATTGTACTGCAGTGTTTCCCAAACTTGACAATTTTAAGGCATGTGGACTTCAACTCCCAGAATTCCACAGCCAGCGTTGCTGGCTGTGGAATTCTGGGAGTTGAAGTCCACATGCCTTAAAATTGTCAAGTTTGGGAAACACTGTTGTACTGTATACACTCTATAGAGATGATCACTAGCCTCTGGATGGCATTGGAATACAAGACTGGACTAGATGCATCTTCTGTCTGATCCATCAGGACTCTTCTATTCTTATGTGTACCATTATGATTTTACTGAGGGTTGGAAGATGGAAAAACACAAAGAAAACTCCTTAGTGAATAATTTTGATTCACTGCATTGAAAGGTCTCTGAACTGGACTTTATGTTTCAAACATAAACTAGTAAAGGGATGTACAGGAGGGTTTTTTTTTCCCCCAGAAAAACACATGTAACCATTACAATGACACTTTGCACCTGATTTTTATTCCATTTTTTTTTCTGGTGATAGAAGAATTTGCTTTGGTACCAACTTTGGGATGGAAATGTTATTTAGTCAGATAAATGAATGTAAGTATAAACATAAAACTTGCTTGTATGGAATCGTCTTGTCATGTATGGATAGAGTTCCTGTAATGGGTTCCTGTAACTGCTTTGATTTCTTCCTTTCTTGCTTTTCTTGCCTTCAAATAAATTTCGACTCCCGGCAATGGCCTAGAGAAGTCCGTGCTATTTTCTTGACAGGATGTTTCAGCAGTGGTTTGCCATTGCTTCCTTCCTAGGGCTGAGAGACAGTAACTAGTCACCCAACTGTGCCTAAGACAGGACTCAAGCTCCTGGTCTCTCAGTTTCTAACCTGGTGTCTTACCACTACATCTTATTTAGGACTGAGTGTCTGACCTGCAAATCCCCAGATGATGCCTAGACGGCAGCAAAGCAAGGTAGAAACGTCTAATTCACCCTGATTTTTGCAATCCATATATGTATTACTATCTTATTACTATTCCTGGCTTCCAGATGTTAGCTGAATGACTGCCATTTAAAAAGTTTCAGTCTTACCTTTCCTACATGGTTTCTATGAGTATGTGGGCAAACCCACAAAGACCCCAACTGGACATAACAAAGGTGGGTGTATTTCAGCATAACAAAGAGTTTAATTGCGAAATAATGCATGATTGATAACCAGGCTATATGGGCTAATGTCTGATTTATTTTGGAGCTTTTATATAGCTGTATGGCATGGTGAGGACACAAACAGTATCAGGTGAAGGGATACAGCAAGCCGTACATGTTCTCAAGTGATACATTCAGAAATAAGATGACTCACAAGTCACAAAAAGGTGTAAATTGCCCTCAAGGCTCCTACATGCATTATTGTCAATATTTGTAGTACAATTTCACATTGTCCCCTTGCACTAAGTCCTTTGGTTTTCAAAGGCTCTTACTCCCAGCAAAGTATATACAAGTATATACATACCACAATTGGGACTGGCAACTTGGCCATTAGGCTAAGTGGACAGTAAGTGGAACTGCAACTATGCTTTACAGTCTTACTTTTACTTTCTTTCGCTTTACAGATCTGCAAAGATCATCAATGCAAGGACTGATCATAAAGTTACTTTTTTAGCACTGTCATACTTGCGAACAGCGGCTAAACAAGACAGTTGCTAACCGAGGACTACCTACACAGAATTACAGCCTTAGTTAACTTACATTTTCCCAACTGCTCATTTCTTCTGTGATTCTGGGGAATGTAGCAGATCAGCGTGTAAGCATAAGGATAAAAATGCCTCCATCCTTTGGTGCATTGTTTTGTGGAATATAACCCCAGAAAAACTGTGGCATGAACTGAAACTTGCACCTTTGCTGTATAGACAGATCTAAATCAAGAAACAATTTTGTTCATGAAAACACAGCAGTAAATCCTGCCCTAGGGAATTTCTAACAGCAGAAACTGATTTCAGGTATGTGCAAGTAGGTATGGCCTTTCCTTTAGTCACAGGGCAATGGTGGATGAATATTGCAGAATGGAATCTTATATACCTATATTGGGGGGGGGGGCTTCTCAGATAATATGCAACTAGGATTGCACTATTAGTTAGCAGGGAAGGGAACATACAAATACTCAATGTGCCCTTAACTTGCTTTGTAATGTAGGGATATATTTGTAATGTGGGATATATTTCTGTGAAATAAGGCATGTCTGATAAATGAGCTGGTCCCATAATAGAAAATAACCAAAGGGGTAAAAGTATCATAATATACTATCAAACTGCATCCATTAACTTAACAAGTTGGAAGTAGTTATGCATGTGCATTCTGTTGCAGATTCATCGAGCAGAAGTCTCAGTTGCTATTTACACACAGAATCTGAAGACACGGAGAAAAATTTCACACTGTCAATATTTAGAATCCTCGTGGCTGCCTTTTTACCAATCCCTCACTTAAGGAAAAATGGGGCTTTAATCCTGGAATAAAATAGGAAGATAGAATTCTTGAGACTAGTTTCATGCTTTTCCTTTCCTGGACCAAGCTTGGCTTTTTCCTTCCATAAGCTGTGCACGGCAGCAGCGATTTCATAGGTCAGGGAGAAAAACTGCCTTTATAAGTTCTCGATATCTCCTTTGAACACCTTGTCTTACTCTTACTCTCACACTTGACATGCAGCATTTCCTTCGTCTTACTAACCAAGATCTTCCCGAATGACTGAGATAGAGCCTTCTCTCTGCCACAAGAGGCATGAAAACAAAGCTCAACTGTTTTGCTTTTATGCTTTGCATTCTCAGTGGCAGATTTATTTTCCTTTTGCTCTTAGGACAAAACCTTGCAATTGGCACCACAAAGCCCTAGAGGGTGCCATTGGCCTTTTTTTCTTGTCATCTTCCCTTCCCCCCCCCACCTCTCCCCCCCCCCTTTCTATTTCTCTAAAGGACATGTTGGCTGATCTCCTAATGCTATCTGAGGATGACACCTTGATGTTCCACGTGCTCCCTGCCTTCTGCATGAAATAGATCACTTTGGCTCGACCATCACAGCAGTGTCCTGGTGGCAGGGTTCAGTTCTCTCCTCTCCCTTGCCATTTCTCAGGAGAAAGTGCAGCAGCAGCAAAGTAAAAGAAACAAGCAGTGACTATTTTGTAGCGCTGGGTGTTTTTGCATCTTTCTTTGAATTCTTCCACTCTACTTAGTCAAGGGTCTTGACTAAGCAGCACAATGGGTCTTTCCAGCAACAGGAAAACCTGTATTTTACTCTGTGACCAATGCATCTGTTCTGTTGCCAACAGTAATCTAAAAGATGGTTAAGAGGAAGTCTAGATGTGAGTTGACTGGCTGCTTCTACCATGGATTGAGAAGAGTAAGGGCACCAGGACTGAACGACTTATATAAGTCTTCCATGCAAAAATGTTCCCTTGATATGTGCACATAGGAACCACAGGCTGGCCAAGCCCATGATTATTTACAAAAACCTTCCTCAACCATGTCCCTTTTAACATGAGGTGGGTGGGAATTGAAAGAGTTGAGGTCCAACACGTCAGAAGCCAATATGCAGGGGAAGAACCTCTAGAACTTCAGACTGGTCTCTTTTTACAGCCTGACCTGGAGATGCCAGGACTGAATTTACTGTAAGCCAAGCATTTTTACTCTATCAATAATTCCTTCTCTTACATATTCACATTCCATATTTCTGAAAATGCCTGGCATAGAAATCCCATTTTTTCTGCTTCTTTTACTCTGTATATCATATAAACTTGAGGGCCTTGAGTTTCAGAACACTTCAATAGCATGGCTAGGTCCAGTGTCCCACTTCTCCTCATCCCTAAAAGGAAAACGTCAAAATGTTTCTGTGGAGACGTTATACTGCTAAAGCAGATGTAATATAAGGGCTATTTGGTAAGCTTGGCTAAGTTTATGCTGGTATGTTTCCAAGGTACCCACAGCCTGGAGTCTCCTCCATCTGATCTCCTACATAAGCTATGTATGATCAGAAGAAAACAAAGATGGGGGTGGCCCCGATTATTCATTTCTGGCTCAGTTTGAATTAATACCAAATAAATGTTCTCGTCTTTAAAGGTTACAGGATAAAAATAGAGGGCAACTGCTGAATCAAGGAGAAGCAGGGAAACACCTGATACGACCTAATCCATGCCAAGGCCCGCTGATGTATTAGCTAGATGACACCATATCACCCAGCAGAGAAGCAAGAGAGAAAATGGGCAAGACCTAGAGGGCCAGAACTGAGAAGGGAGGGGGAACCTTTTGCACACAGAACTCACTTTACTCACATTGCCTGAACTCCAGACCACAGAACACATTGCCTGGAATTCTTGTAGTTAACTCCATCTGAGACTATGGACACCAATACTGCAGACCGACTCCTAATCTGTTTTTATGACTGGAGAGGGCAGGATAAGCATGGGACAATCAGGCGGTAACATCTATCTGAATTATTCTCTTCTCTGTCTTTTCTCTTGGCTTGTCCAAATTATTTTGCTCAATGGGAAGAGATCTATTTCCCCAGTCACCCTGCTCCAGTCAGCTACTTCCATCTACACAAGGATGGTTGCTTCTACTCTGCAGGATTGTGGCAAGGCGCAGTACAGAATAAATTATTGTGCACTTGAGCTGGGTTCGCACATCACACAACCACAAACACTGCTTTGTGGCTTAAAGTAATGAAGAAAGCCAGTTATAGAGATCAGTTGTAACTCTGAAACAGAAATGTGCATGTATATGCATGTCCTACACTTCAAAAAGTCCTTCATTCTGGATGCTAAACAATAAAGGCAATGATGATATGAGGTGTGTTTTTCTTTGCTGCTCAGCAGACGTAGATCAGAAGTTTCCTAGGGTCATATAGAGAGTGTAAATAGATAAGTGCTATTACCAGAACTATGCCTTGTAGATGTTGCTATGAGGCACAGTAGTGGGGGATAAGGCAAAGAGGACATTTGGAAGGGAATTTAGCCTATTGGGTTTATCTGCTATTTACTCTGATAGGCAGACCTTCTTGGTAGATTGCAAGGATAGGGGCCTGAGCTAGTTGATCCATATAGAATCCTCCATTTGACTGGCTTATGTATCTTGGTACCTTTGTATGTTTTAGATAATGGCTCCTCACTTTTCCTTTCCTAGTATGGAATGTTATTCTGAATGCAAATCTGTCCCACCTGGTTAGGGATACAACTTCAGCCTTTGTGCCCTGGCCTGTATGTCTAGGGTCTGAGATAGATACAGGTGAAAATCCAAGGGTCCCATGAAGTTTCTGATAGGTGGCTGTGTTAGGGAACAGCTCTGTTGAGCTTCCCTACTCTTGGATATAATCAGCTTTGCTGGGATACTACTGCTCCTGACCCTTGTAGAGGTGGAGCTTCTTCTCCATCTGCTATTTTCCAACCCTTATGCAAGAAGCACCTGGAGGCGGCTTCCTCCAGGTGCTGAAGGAAGAGTTGGCAGAAGGGGCATTATTTTGGGCTTACTAACCAAGAAATGTTGTGAATCTCCTGCCCAGAGGGACATCTTGGATACCATTGTCTCCCAGATATCTGGTAAACTGCAAAGCAATGGAAGAGGTTGGAAGACCTCTCTCCTAGTGACTAGCAGTACCAGAAGCATTGCTCACTGGGCACTGAGTCCCTGAAATCATGGCAAGAGTTCTGAGATCATTTGGGTACATTCTTGGAACAGGCCTCCATTGCTGCATGTTAACTGGAAACCCATGTGCATCCTTACTGTCACAATCCCAGACTGGCTGGCTTTGGTGGCATTTCCAGAAAGCTTGGAAGTGCCTACATTTCATATTCCTATGTGGTATCTTGTAATAAGTACTTGTATTGTAGCTTGAATCGGTCTTTCATCCTCTTGTGATTCAGCTCCAATAGTCCAGGGAACAAAAAGGCCTCAAAACATTCTTCTTTCACTTCATTTGGTTTACAATATATAAAGTCAAGCTTTGTATTTGGAGGAAAAGTATGCTATGCAGGTGAAGCATCAACCATAACTTGTTGATTTCTTCGGCTTCCCTCAGGATAGTGGAGTGGAAGCCAACTGATGATTAGCTCTCTCAAAGTAGAGCTAAAACAATGGCAGTTGCTTCATGGAAGTGAAATATGGACTTAAGGTTGGTTTTTCTCTCCTATTGTAACCCTCATTGAGAGTACACCAAGTTCTGTCATGAGCTCTGTGTCCTTCAGTGGGATATTTCTCAAAGGGAATGAAAGCAATCAGATGCATCTCCCCACAAGAAAGGCAATCATTGTGTCTCCAGTCCAACTGAGAAAGGGAAAGCAAAATCTGGGAAACTCAAGCATGTTCCCCAAGAGAGAGAGGCAGGAGGAAGCTAACAAAGATCCTGTGGAAATGGATGTCCTGCAGGAAGAGAAGCTGAAACACACTTATTCTTTGTGTGAGAAATGTTTCTCGTAAATAGGCCTATTTTCTTCTTCAAAGTCCCCAAGAAGTGGCAAGCTTGGAGAGAAGGTGTTACGCATTTTTGCAAATGAACTTCCTCCGCCTAAGACTTAATTAGGTTGGCAGGATTATGCATGTATGGGCCTGCATAAATTTTGTGGCAACAGTTTTCACAACTTTTTTCCCCCGATTCACATCTCTTGGCCCATGTTTAAGAGGTACAGGATGCTTCCGATGGGAGGCTACCCCGTTTCAGCCTCAGACTGCCATTCCAGCCTCGTGGACAAATATTGAAGCTGCGGATGCTAGGTGACTTGACCCCAGAGCAATCAGAGTCCACGGATGCCTCTGAATTGGTGGGGGACATGGAAGTGGAGCGCTTTACTGGGGAACATGTTGTCATCATGGGAGACATCAGGGGGCTTTGGAAAGTGGGAGAACAAGCATCCCGTTTTTTTGGGCTGGTATATGATATCCCACTGGTGTTTGCTGGCAACGTGAAGACCTTGTGGCTATCCATGAATGTGGGTTTTTGAAGTGGCTCTGGATTCTTGTGTGATTCAGAATGAGTGCCCATTATACTTGAGCCATTATGGTTTGTTGATACAATGAACTGGGACGCTCCAGTTCTAGCAGGCAGCATGAAGCATTTGTTTCCATTCATCCTCCCTGCTTTTGGTGATTGTAGTGGGCTTGGAGATTTGATGCCTAGCAACCTGGGGCTGTTGTTTGACGATGCACTAGCCTGGGGTGAAGCTGCTGAGATGGGGAGGGAGGCATGTCTGTAGCCATCCATTCCTGTCGGCTTGGGTGATTGAAGTGGGCCTGGAGAATGATTACCCCTGTTCATAGGACTTCCACCAGTGGATGACACATTGGGGCAAGTGACAGGGGGCGTGAAGGGCCTGAAGTTTTCTACTCCAGTGAGTTTGGGAGAAGAGCTCTTTCTTCGGGCAGCATTTATGATATTTCTTGCCAACAGCACCTGCATCTGTCGGCTGGACTTTTGGTCAATCTCCTGTCGAAATGGGGACAGAGACCTTTCACTCCAGGATGGAGACATGGGAGGAGGTGGCGTCATAACATGGGCTGCTCGAAAGGCTTCAAGTCCATCCTCAAATTCTGGAGTTTGGGCTGGGCTCATCCAGCCTTCTATGCTGCTGGACTGTCGCCTTATCAGCTGTGGGGTCCATGTCGGGGAGGCAGGCAGGGATGCTTTTCTTTCCTGCAACAGGAAGAGGAATAATTTTTAGCATTCTGTTCCTTTAGACCCTTCAGATTGTGCTTACCTGCAGAAGGCAATGTCTGGCTGGGCACCGTAAGAGGAATCAAGGTGCAGAGAACAGCTTGCTCCTTGCATTTCTTTTCTGGCTATATCCATTCCTCCTCAGATGACTTTGGGTGATCTCCTTATACTTCCCTTACTCCATGAGTTCAGTATGAAAATATCCTGGTACCACTCTAAGGGCGCTTTTTATCTGGGAATTGTATAATTGGAAAAGATTTGAAAAGACAACATGGAGAGAAGGACTTCCAACTTCCTGCTGGCTTCCCCATTGACTTTGTTTGTGGGAAGCTGGCAGGGAAAGTTGTGAATAGTGATTTTGTGACAGCAGGATTGTGCAAAGGCCATATGTACAACACCTGGTAATAGCTGCCACTTGTTCAGTGCTGTCATAAGTTCAGATATGATTTAATGTGAGTGGTCATTAAACAAGGACCACTTGTATTTTATTTTATTTATTAAATCTTTATCCTGCCCCATCTGCCCTATAAGGTGACTCTGGGTGGTAGTGCTTTGGAGGGAAGCGAGGGGATGCAGGATAGGGATCACAGCAATGGGGACAGCTAATTTCATGCTGATGTAGTTTTCTGCCAGTCCAAGAGTGGATGATGTTCAACATAGGAGCCCTTCCTCTCTTTCTACACGTTTTCTCTCACTTGTCCTTTTTCCCTTATATTTGTACACCTTTCACACACTTCTAGAGGGTCTGCAGGCAGGAAAATCTCTTAACTTTGATCAGAGGCACTCATGGGAAATAAAGCCTCTACACTGGAATCCAGCTAAAAAGAGCCCCATTAAGATTTATGGAAGCTTTAGAAAGCCTAATGGGTAGGGACAATGGTAGCCATAGGACATAGGAGTCGTTGTGGCAAGATTTTTCTGGAAGAAAGACCACTTTGGCCCTTCCTCAAGAACTGCCACTTGCCCTCCTCCCCTCTGGGAAACAATGTCTCTATGGAACAAGATTTTAAGAGTTTCCATGGGCACCAGCACAAAGCCACAAAAAAGTTCATCTCCATTCCAAACCGATCCCTTATCCAGTTAAAAAATAAAATTTCCTGATAGAATTTGTAAGAGGTGTTTGGTGAACAGGCAAAGCTGTATCCTGGATTCAAATCTGGGATTCCTTGCATAAAATTAAATAGAAAACCCTTGCCACTCAATTTATTGATATGGAAACTAACAGAAGGCAGGGATAGTGTTCATTTACTGAAGGAGCTAGGAGTCCTCCGGTATTGTTGGGCTTGTAGGAACATCTGAGGTGTTGAAAAAATGTTATAGGCAGATTTGCTAAGGGCTGCTCTGTTGACATTGTCAGTCACAATGTGGTTTCCTGGGGGACATATATTTCAAAAGTTTCGGTTTATCAGCAATCCACTTGGCACTAGCTGTACTATCTCTTCTGCAGGATGCTCCCTTTTTCTCCCTGCATTTTTGCTCTTTTCTCGTAATGAATGGGCACAGTTCCAAAGACAGATCTGGGCTGAAATTATCACAATTTTATTTTCTATGACAGCTCGTGAGATCCTTAGTCTCTTTAGAAATAAAGGAGGCGTGGGATCAAACTGCATTGAAGCATGTTGACCCTCCACTTTTTTAAAAAATAAAAAAATAACAATGCAGAAAATCAGCAGGGGCAGCTCCTGGTGGATAGTAAGGGAGATACCTATAGGATCACTGGTGCTCTCAGATATTGTTCTTTAGGGCATAAAGTAGATCTACTTTTGGAATTTAACCTGCCAATCCGAGTTTCAGGGTTTTTCTGGGATTTTTTTGCCTTCAAGTCAGACTTGTCTGCTGGTCACTGCCTGGACAAGTCCCTACAGTTTTCTTGGCAATGTTTTTCAGAAAGGCTTTGCTATTGCCTTTGAGTGAGAAAGACTAGCCCATGCTCACCCAGCTGGCATTGTGCCTAAACCAAAACTAGAACTCACAATTCCCCAGTGTCTAGTCCAGTGTCTTGAAGTGCTACACCAAATTGACTCCGTTCTGCAAGAACAAAGCTAAATTGCTAAATAGCGAATGTAACATGGCTATGAAAACAAGAGGGCCTGTGCAAAAAAATTGAACATAGAGAGCAGATGGAAGCAAGGAAATGAAGCAGAAGAACCTCTACAAAACACAGAATAATAGAAAAATCCAGGAGGTTCCATTCATTACTTGAAATTCCTGAGAAAAGTGAGATTCCTCTATCCACAAAACAAGATGCTAAGCTAAGGGATAGCGGGATGTAAAAGGGGAAAGGAATCTCAAAAACTGACAATGAAAGCATGCTTCACTCATTCCTATGCCATGGTTTTCTAGTATTATTTCCTTCCTTTACAGTACCTTTCAACTCACGTTTTAGGACACATAAGAAAAAAAAAACCCATGTCAACACAGGAATACATCCTGATGGTTTTCCTGACTTACATGTTTCATTGATTTCCTGCCTTTCTCCCAAATGTGTATCTTATTGCTGAAACAGGCTTGATAATAAAGACCTTAATGCATGAATTAATGGGAGGGCTTAGCATAACAGTATTTTAGAGAAAGGATGGAAAGCTGCCAGAAACAGCAGTAACTGAGATCCATTGGTGCATCCAAGCACAGGGGTCTGCAGCTACCATAAAGAAGAAGAAAAATGTGCAGTACAGCACAACACAAATCCCACTGCTGTGTAGTTGTAACCCAATTTCTGACAAAATGACTAGAAGTCTTAGTATCTACATTTGACATGCTGCATTTTTTAATCGCTCTTTCACCCTCACTGACTCCATCAAGGTTAGCATTAACGGAAGTGCTTCATGTTATCATTGGGTTAGAGATGTTAAGCCAAGAGCCAGAAGGCATGATGCTGCAGACATTAATGCACAAAGGTGACCATTCACATACAACTTATCTGAGAATAATTTCTCCAGCTGTATTTTTATTGGAATCCTGGAGTTGAAATTATTTCAGATGAACTGAGGGTTCTCAGTTTGTATGACTAGTTGAACAATTTGGATTGCCCGGGGAATGAATATCTTTTCAATTAAATTCCTTCCTTCCTTCCTTCCTTCCTTCCTTCCTTCCTTCCTTCCTTCCTTCCTTCCTTCCTTCCTTCCTTCTTCCTTCCCTCCCTCCCTCCCTCCCTCCCTCCCTCATTCAGCTGTCCAAATTTTGCAGCATTCCTCCTGCTCTTCATAGCTCTCAAATGGCTTGTTAGTGGGAATGCTGACATGGAGATATCAATGGCTTGTTAATTCTTTTGTGCCATGGATTACTGAACTTTAGTTCACTATTTGTACACCCACCCACACATACAGATATGCACACGAACACACCCCTGAATTACTGTATGCCAGAAAACAAGCATTAGGAGTGAATGCTGCTGTTTCCCTTGCTTCCAGCATCCTATTGTCTAGGAAGCAGGCCTCTTCTCTGCCTCTCTCTCAACTGCTGCTGCAAGTTTCAGGAGAGGAGAGGAAATTCAGTCCTTTGTTAAATGGAACATCCAGATAGGAAGCACCTGCCTCACTGAAAACAGGCCTCTGTCAGTTTTCAGCAAAATATTTTGTGTATTTTCAATGTTCAATATTAAGTGACATTCCTAAGCATTGATTAAACATGTAAATATCACCCCATTAAAAACCTTCCTACAGGATGCCTTTGACAGTAATTAAAACCACAGTGAACTATGCTGCCTAAGGACTATGTGAGTTGTAGTTTAAAACACATGTGGAGGGCTCCCAGTTGAAGAAGACATCCATGTTGTTCTCAGCAGTACTAGTAGTATATATTTTGTGTGCAGTTTTTAAGGCATACCTTGAACTCTACAATGAAAAACACCCAATGTTGACCAAATTTGATACTACACAGGTAGACTATTAGAAACCGGTGTCTGTCTCTGAGATCCAAGCACAACTATGATGTAATATTTGACACAATGGGCACACTTTGAGTGGATCTATAACAATTCTTCATAAAACAGTTTTCCATACTCAGACTTAACCTTAATTATACTTAATACTATCCTTAACCTTCCTGTTTATTATGCTTGAAGGCTATACACAAGAACTTGCACTTTGTTCATTTATATTAATGAACGTAGCCTTATAGAATATACCAGTTAAAGGATATTTGAGAATCTGTGACCCTTTGGGTTTTGCTGAACTGCAACTCCCAGAAGCCAGTAAGTGTAATGAAATATGTTGGATGATCTTGGGGGATTAGGGGAAGAGAAGCTGTCTAGGAAACAATCAGAAGAGAGGCCCAAATCTCCAGTGGATTAATGGTCATAGGAAGAGGAAGGACCTGCATTAATTGTTCAGGAAGTTAAAAGTGGTGGTGGGAAGTTTGTACCTTCAGACTTGCAAGGTTCTGTTAATGCAGCCTTATAACAAAGTAGATTTATTTCTTCTACTCGTGTTTCCTGTGTGGTTTACCTGAGAGAGCTGATAGTGGTTCAGCAATATTTGTATTCTCCATGCAGTCTGTGATTTTATATATGCTCTAACTCCTCAATTGCCCTTCTATCTTTCTCTGACTCTAGATTCAAAATCTGTCCCTCCTTTCTTCCTTGAAGGTGCTTTGTGACTGAAGCAAAGAATAACTGGTGCCCATTTCTCTCCTGCTAAAGCCAACACTTGAAGAACGCTTCAGCTGGATGGGCTTCCTCTGCATCTGTCTCTTTCTACTTTCTCCTCCATGACTTGCCTAATTGTAAGCAATTTACCCTGCTGCATCCCTCTCCTTAGTCTTTCATGGTTCCCTTCTGCCCTTGCTGCCTCTTGTGAAGGCAACAGCACTGTTAGGGTTGTGAACTCGGCTTTCCCGAGCTTAGGCACCCTCAAGATAAGTGGACTTCAACCCACATAATTTTCAACAGTGGCCAGGCTGGCTGGGAATTGGGGAAATTGTCAATACATCTGGGCTGAGACTGAAACTGAAACTGTCAAAGTGAGCCAAAGCACTTGAGTTTCCCAAACATTACTCTTAGACCTGTGTTTCTCAATTTCAGCAGCTTTGCAATGCAAGTATGCTAGCTGGGGAATTCTGTAAATTAAATTCCGTATCTATTGAAGCTGCTAAGGTTGGGAAACATTGCTCTAGGCCTGTCTTCATGGGTTGAACTGTACCTTCCACATTCCTAGATACTGTGGCCAAAATCTGTAAGGCACAAGCTTGAGGAAAACTACTGGACTTCATGGCCTGGGGAGGATGGGAACGACAGTCCAAAATTTGTGGGAGGATTCATAACTGGTATTCAGTCATATTCTAGGCAACCGTCCTACATTCCCTAGATAACTTTTCTCAATTCAACCTTTGTTCCACTACTTAAGTCAATAAGGTCATGAAGAAGATTAACAAAAAACTTCTTGGGTAAAGTGTTCACTTTAGAACTTTGCCAAGTTTGTTTTCCTTTGGTAGAGAGCTTTCATCCAACTTTCTTTAAATTTCAATGAAGTGGGGAATACAACAAGTTTAATGCCCTATTATTCTGAAATCTTCTTTAGCTGTGGTGGAAAAACTTCCTTTTCTTTTTCCTTTCCTTTCCGTTCCTTTCCCCTTTCCTTTCCTTTCTATCAAAGAAATGTCAAGTCATCTAAGTTCTATTCTCCTGGGGTCTCTTTGACCCATCTCTTCTTTGACTTTCAGGTTTGAAGAAGAGAAAAGTCCAGTTGCCAAGTTTTAGGCTTTCTTAGTCCTTTGATACTATTTCTCTAATATATGGTTATATCAATGCTATTCATGTATAGATGGCTCTATCAGCTTGCCCTGCATTAGTGCTTTACCAAGGCAGATGTTTTTATTGGATTAATGAAGAAAAGAGAGAAAACCTCTTGCTGCTCCTTGATTAGCCAGCAGGTATATGGGATTCAGTCGGGAATCTTTGCAGGAGAGGGTTGAAAAGGTCAAGACAGCAGCCATACCCACACAATCACATCCCGACCCTTTTATGTGTACATTGTGATACACATCAAAAGGACCAGGGCTGCAATAGCAATAGCACTTAGACTTATATACTGCTTCACAGTGCTTTACAGCCCTCTCTAAGTGGTTTACAGAGTCAACTTATTGCCCCCAACAATCTGGGTCCTCATTTTACCAACCTCGGGAGGATGGAAGGGTGAGTCAACCTTGAGCCGGTGAGACTTGAACTGCCAAACTGCTGGCAGCTGGGAGTCAGTAGAAGTAGCCTGCAGTACTGCATTCTAACCACTGTGCCACCTCAACTTGGCAATCATATGGTCATGGCTGTATTTTGACTTATTTAACCTCCTTTTGCCTACCCCCCAGGGCTCAGCATAGCTATTTAAATAATATTTCAGGACTGAAAGAAACCATTGTCCTGCAACACCTAGCCATTCCACAGCCTTTTCCGCAGTAATTCTCCTTCTACCTTTGGAACTATTTCAACTCTGAGCACATAGCATGGAAGAGAACAGAAAATGCACTCAATAATATTAGTTTCACATTTGGTATTGCCAACCAGTAGAAGCTTTGTGTCTGATAAGACCCTTTCTTCATTGATCTTGCTTGCTTTACAGGCAGTCCTCAACTTACGCCCACAATTGAGCCTCAAATTTCCATTACTAAGCCAGACAATCATTGACTTTTGCCCCGTTTTACAACACCCACAATTGAGCCTCAAATTTCCATTGCTAAGCCAGACAATCATTGACTTTTGCCGTTTTACAACCTTTCTTGTCACTGTTGTTAAGTGAATCATTGCAGTTGTTAAGTGCATCTGCCTTCCCCATTGACTTTACCTGTCAGAAGCTCACGAAAGGTGATCACCTGACCCCGGGACACTGCAACCATCATAAATACATGACAGTTACTTAGTGTCTGAATTTTGATCACATTTGATCTTGGAGATGCCATAATGTTTGTAAGTGAGAAAACTTCCCATAAGTCACTTTTTCGGTGCTCTTGTAACTTCAGATAGTCACTAAACAAATGGTGCTAAGTCGAGGACTACCTGTATTAGGCTTCTGCTAGAATTTGTCAAGCAGGAGAAAGCGGGAAAGAGGGAAAGTCAGAGACAGAGAATGAACTAGACTGGGAATCTCTGCAGAAGAAAGAGAGCCAGCGTGGCAGTGGGGCTAAGGTCTTGGACCAGGTTCTCGTCTACCTTCAGCCACAAAAGTGTGATTTTGGGCAGGTCTTCTTTCTTCACTCCAACCTACCTCACAGGACTGAAGTTATGGAGCAAAAAAGGAGGAAGGAACACAGCATATGTTGCTTTTGTGCTCCTGACCAAAACGCAGGACAGGAATGTAAGAACAGCTAGTGTTACTGAGTGTTTTGTGTCTAAGCCTTGCAGTTTGCGACTTAATAAATCATGGGAGGAGGCCGATGGCAGAAATGAATTCTCAGCGCTGGATTTGCTTAGAGACAGCTCACTCTGCAGGGTAACCCACCACCTGTTCTGTAGAGTCAGCCTGAAGGTCAGTCTGCAGTCAGCTTACTTTAAAGATGACCTTTTTTTATTGCAAACAAATGTATAAACGAAGCCTCACTCCATATAACTGCATAGAAATTTGAAGTTGTATATCTTAAAGAAAAGTTGCCCCACTTTGAAAAGATTGTAGGAGCTCATGTATTGCTTTTGGACCTGTTGCACTGGTCTACAGACCTGGTCTGAAGATTTCCCACTGTGAGGAAAATGAAGGAAGGGCTGGAATTAATATTAGTTCCTTACTTAACACAAGGGATCTCTTACTTCTAAATACCAGAAGCTTAACTTGATCACGTTGTTCTGTGGTCTATGTATCATCTCAGTGATACTTTTAGTCCCAAATATTCAATATTCAATTCAAATCCATAAAAGAGATTAACATGGATGTTAAATAAGAGATTAAGTGTGGAAATGTGAAAATCTTTTTATTTCCCTTCTGTTTCAATCTTTTTTAGGGAACAGCATGATGTTCCTTTTTCCCTTCACTCCACAACAGGAAGGAAAACCAATCCTAATGACCAGAAAAACATGTCAGCATTGAAACCTCTTCCCCCCTAAAAGTCCTTAGCATTATCAAGAAATACTGTAGTATTGGGACAGTATAAAAGAAATACTGTACCACAGAGACTATATTTTACACATCCCTGATTTCTCTTAATAGTTACTGGTGCTGAAAAAGGTTCTTCTGTGAGATAATTGCACTGTAAGTGGATTCTGCCAGTATAAAATGTTTAAAACCAATTTATGAAACCTCACTGTAGTTCCCAGAGTCTAAATCATGGTACTTGGCTACATGTATCTCAGCAGTTTAACTGGTTTGAGGCCCTTTGGGTCAGTGACAACAATCTCTGTGTTCTCATAAATCCCAGTATAAGGAGGATAGAATTGTCATAATATTACTTATGGTAAGCTAATCGCAGAACATCTGCAGCTATTCCCCGATGGCAGAAAAAGGATTTGGGGTGCATGTGAGGAGGGCAGTGTGTGACTTTTGAAGTTTGCAAGCTGGCTTAGCCCACCAAGCACTTCTGTGCATTAAAAGTTGTTATTAAATTAAATGTGTATTAGGATGCTAAGAAAGTTTGTGTTCTAGATTACATTTATGGTACATGTATTCACCCAAAGGTATTCAGTTTCCTGCCATCTAAGAGAGACAATAAAATTAGAGAGGAGAAATAAATGAAACACAGTGGTAGCAGAGACAGGAACAGGCATCAGCTAGAATTGTCTTTTGGCATCAGCAAAGAACAGAGAAGGTGGGCATGTCATATCGGAGGCTCTGGATGCAGAGAAGACAGAGGATAAACACCTTTCAGAGCAAAGAAGCCAAAAAAAAAAAAAGGTAAGGCAGAGAAGAAGCCAGAAATTGGATGTTCATAGAGTTTCTGGGTATGAGAAAAAAGAAAACACTTCTGCTTCAGTCAAGCTTCAGCTAATAATCTTCTAGGACTCAACTCCTATGCTTTGACTATTTTTATATTTTTTTGTGGGCTAAATTCACACACTGCTGAACACTTTTTGGAACTTGTATAGCACAAATCCAATCGCACAAGTTCTATCAGGACTGGCTTAGCCGAGATATGCTGGCATTAGGCTAAATTGGTTTTTCCAAAAAAAAAAAAAAAAAGCCTGCTCAGTTTTGTTAGTGGAAAATGTAACTTAGCCTATTATGGTTTGAGAAGTGGCACTTTTATGCAAGATGTATTTGCACTCACAACCCATTAAGCTGTCTTCATTTTGCTTTTTGTTTTTTCTTTGCACACCACCAATCAGAAGCTAATGACGATGTAGGTCTTTTGCCTGAACCCTTGCACACTCTTTAAAATCTATTATTTATAGTAAAAAGAAGGTTTCCACACCTGAGGCTCAATCCCTGCATTCTTGGTGGAGTAAGATGGTCTTGGAGCTTGGAATACTCCTTTAGCTCTTGGAGACAAAATTTTAGAAGAGTAATCGAAAGATCCTTCCGGTGATGTTTCAGCATTTGCTCTGATCTTCTGTAACGGAAACACGTTTCCAGGTAACGGAGCAAAGAGGGCAGGCAATGTTCTGCTTGGGCTGGACTGGGCAGGTGGACCCATCAGAGGAGAAGGTGCCAAGGATGAAGTAAAGGAAGAAGCCTGTGTCATATAACCCCCTTCAGGGACTACAGATCTCATGGGCTCTTTGACTGGGGAACGAACAAACAAGGAAGAGTGAAGTTGGTAAGGTTGTTGCTTGGAGATTTCCAACTCTTTTTTGGAGAGCTCACTTTCTATCAAATTTCTGTTGTAGAAAGATGCAGGAGGACCTTTTGGAGATCTTGATGGACTTTTGAGTGCTGGTTGGAGTGCCATAGGGGAGAGATGAGTTTCTGAAGTATACTTCCAGGATGGAGGAAGAGACATAGTAGGTGAAGGTGATCTTGCTATATCTGGATGTGATGGGGCTTCAATGATGTACTTCTGCATTCTTGATTGCCTCTTGGCAAACAGTTCTGCCCCCTTTCCTTTAGCCTCTGAAAGGCTTTGGTTAGAGCTTATTTTAGGTTTAGGCTGTATTTTTGGTGATCTTAAACACGAAGACCATTCTGGTGGAGGCTCTCCAAGGGAATGAGTGGGTACATCTAATGATCTACCTTCAGTTAGAAAGTTAGAGGCATCTGCACCCAATGCAAATGATTCATCTTCAGGAAATGCTCCTCCTTGTCCTTTCTGCTTCTTTCTATTATCTGCTGTCTGCACTAAATTCAAAAGATCTGGATTAGGACCCATTTTTGGCTTCTCAACAAAGGTGAACATGGACTTCTTAGCTGTTCTGCGGGCTGCAGATTCCTCTAGAATGCCTGTTTTATCTGGAGATGGTGCTTTGTTCTCTCTGAATTGAGGTCCTGGGCTGCTGTCTTTAGACCTAGCTTCAGATGGAACCAGGATTTTCTGTTCTTGACTAGGATACAGTGCTGAGTAAGCAGGAGGTGACCTGACCCTAGTCACCGGAGGAGGGCTGGAAAATGTTTCTGCATAAGTGGGTGGTGGAGGAATCCCCACCACTGGGCTCTTCTCTGCTGGTGAGAGGATTTTAGTTAGCGATTGAGTGCCAAAAGGTCTTGCAGTTCGGTTCTTCACTGGTTGTGGCTTAGACAAAGTCAGCCGCACTTCACAGTACTGCCTATGATTTTGTGTGCTGGTTTCATTAGAACATACATCAGTGGCTTTTTCAGTGTCAGCAGTGGGAAAAATGTTCTCATTTTCAGTGACCAACTCATACTGTTCCATGCAGGGCAACTCTCCATTTTCCTTTCTGTCAATGATTGGTTCACTTGGTGTCTTGTTAAGGACAATATTATTCTCCCTGTCAATAACAGCTGCGTACAGATCTTTGTCAGGGATGTTGTTGTTTTTCTCACTACCTATGGGTAGATATGGTTCTTTATCGAGAATATTATTTTCCTCATCCATATGCAAAAGATACAGTTCTTTTTCAAGAATGGTATCTTTTTTCTCAATGTTAGGGGTAGCCTCATCCTCAGTCTTAGCTGGGATGTTTTCTATATTGCCCATAATTGGTCCTTGCTCAACCATAGGCACTTTTCCAAACTCAGTGAGAGGTTCATGTATTCCATTGGTTGAAGCTGTCCCTGTATTCTCTTTAAGGTATACACTGAGTGGGATCTGCTGAAATTCTTCCTCTGGAATATCTTTAGAGGATGTTGGGTTTGTTGAATAAAGAATTGTCTCACTCTTTTCCTTATTCCACAGAAGGCCTTGAGCATTATCTAGAGGATGTTCCATACCCAGATCCTCCTCATATCTTTCCATGGTGACTTTTTGCCCCCAGCGTCCAAAATTATTGACGCAGACTGAAACGTTCAGCTCCTTGTTTTGTTTCGGAGTCTGCTTCAGATGTGATTCCTCCCCATGGCTCAGAGTGCAAGGGTGAGTGATAGCTTTGAGGTCGTTCTCTGCAGCTACTCGATCTGGGTTGGTTGGCTTTGGGGCTTCTAAAGTGAATGCGTTCACTCGCTGCTTACGTCTGTGAAACAACAGGACCCCTTTGGAATTGGAACTTGGTGGATTTGTCAGCTGAGCAACAATCCTTTGGCTCCTTGCTTTTGCTTCCTTCAGCTCTGTTTCAGACAAGCTTGCACTTCTGGAGAAATCTGGGGAAGAGGAAACATACAGAGTACAAAGTTATACATGGATATGGAATCCCGGAAGTGCATACCGACACACTTTCCATCTATTTTTAAAAGAAAAAAAAGTCTAATGGGATTAATTCTGTAGTTCCTCCTATTTGTGTGCTGCACTAGACTTATTTGTAATTCATTCAAGACACTGAACCATCTAAGAAGTCAGAAAACATACCAATGAAATCAGTGGCCAAGAGAACTTATGTTGCGATGCTGAACCAGAAAAACACAGGTTTAAATCCTATCCCTGCCAGGGGTTGCATATTACGCTGTAACAACTGACTGGCGCTGATGCTACCTTAGCAGCAAAGCTATCCAGAAGTATTGTTTTGTATCCTTCAAAAACCAACCAGTTACAAGCAAACTGGTAGTGTCCTCATGCACTGTCTTTAAAGGTCCTTCTAGATAGATTCAGGTCCAGATTTCCCCAAATTTGCACCCTTGTGGGCAGCAGGATTTCTAATAGGTGGTTATAATTCCAACACATCTGGAGTGTATTAATTCAGAAAGGTAATTTTAACTCCGCTAAAGATGTTACCTAGCCTGGTAACAAAATGTTCAGAAACCAACCACAAGCTTGGAGAACGAACCTTCACCTTCATCCTATACCTGAGCTACAGATATTCAGCACTATTACAAAGGTAATTTTAATTCAGGAGGAATTAAAGGAACCTTTAATTCAAAAAGAAAGCAGAGATAGTTTGATTCAGCAGCCTGGTTTCCGTGGTCAACCAGAATTTAATGTGGAGTTTTGTCTATCAAGAAGTATGAAGGAAATTAAATCACCCTCAATTTTGTTAACAAGCTTTAGATAGTTTTCCCATGTTCTGTGTCTTATTCCAACAGTATTGTTTATGATGTTTACTATTTCAGAGAAATGGACTGAGTAAATAGATATACTTGAAGTTAGGTCTTCTATAAATTTAATAAAAACTGATCATATGAACATTTCTCTCTTACACTTCCTACCTAAATGTCAATTTATATTTTAGCATGGTATATTATATACTGAAAGCTTTTAGAAATCATAAGGATAATCTAAATACAAATGTACCGTATCTCTCTGCTCAGTTTATTATATAAGAACTAATACTGAATGGGCAACTGCAAACTTCTCTTTATCTATAGACTTGGACTGGAGAGTCCTTCAAATAATGGAGCGAAGTAGTCACCCTAACACTGATGTAGTAATCCTTCCTCAAACAGGTGCTGGGCCTACATATTTCATGGCTTTGGATGGCAAAGCCTTCTTGGCTAGAAGTAAAGGAAGTTGATGCTCAATACAAACAGAAGTCACCTAGTGAAGGGAACTGATGTAGGTTGGAAAGGAAATAATATTGCTCTCCTCCACCACCCTTTTAGTAAACAAATGCCAAACTATTACTAAAAATAGGGCCAATAGAAATAAAAATGTTGATCAAATAGTTGGGCATACCCCTATCCTTGGGTGAAGATGTGAATGGCTAACAACAGGAAGCAATAGGGTAGATAAGCAATGAGAAAACAATTAGCAATAACAGTAAAAGGGGGGCAAGTGGTCTTTTCTCCTCCTTCCCATTTTCATAGGGATCAACTTAAAAACAGGGTACTGCACATGTTTCACAGATTCCTGAAATATTTCATGACATAAATCCTATAAACTGTAATTAGAACAATTATATAGACATATTTTGTATGACCTGAATAAATTGCCTGAAATAAATTATCTAAAATAAAACCAAAGTACAATAGTCTTCCTCACTGATGGCATTTATCATAATCAAAACAAATTGACAACAGAATGGAGCTGAGATGTGAATCTATATCAGTGTTCTTCAGCCTCAGCAATTTTAAGATGTGTGATCTTGAACTGCCAGAATTCCCCAGCCAGCCTGCTGGTCTACATCAATCACATCCCTACAAATGGTAAATTATACTGAACTGGAAGAATTTGCCACCTGTACGGCACCTTTTCAATTTGTCACCTGTCCGGCACCTAATTTCATTTTCTACAACAATTTACAGTACATGGGCTTTAGTGCTCCTCCTACTCTAATGGAATGTGTATGGGGTTGCTGTGAAAGGTTTTATAACACATCGCTTTTAGAATAGAAAAAAAAATCTAGACTTTCTATTCTTTTCTATACAAGACCTGTTTTTGCAAACCCAATACAGAGAAATGTCACAAGAGGAGGTTGCAGCTTTCTTTGTAGGAAGTTTTGCTTTGCAATTGTAAATGATTGCATGCAAAAGGAATTTATTGAGAGACTTCAAAGTTTCAAGTTGCAGTTCATTGGGTTTCAAACACCCTGTACAAACACGCTCTAAGCAGGACGTTGGCCGGCTCTAAACTGTCTCACAGAATTCCCTCTGCAGAGGGCAAACGAAGTACAAAGTGCCTGGTTATCATAAAAAATAGGAAAATAAACCATTGCCTCTACGTTTCTAGAGGCTCACTTTTAATATTACCGATGCACGGTGCTGATCTAATAATTTTGCTTAAATTTAACACAAGATGGCAGTGCCTGAAAACAAATCTGTAAAGATTGGGGCCTTTTAATGTGCTTTCTTACGCACTGATTGAAAACCAATTAGTCAAGCCACTTCCTAAAATAGAGCCTACTTAGCATCTCATAAAACTGTGATGCTTAGGCCATTTGCCTGCCTCCCCTAAGCCACCCTAGGGGAAGTGGGAAGTTGACAAGCTTTTCAAAAGATCTGCCCATGGGTCATGGCAAAAGTTGCTATTAACAAAGGATGTGAAAGGATACTGAATGCATTTTCTGTGGGTGAGCCATTTCCTATGAGCCATTTTCCTAAAATGACCATGATTTAGCATCTCTGGCAAGAGGAAATATCAGAAACAAGGAGTGGTTATAAAAAACTTACCACCAAACTGCTGACATTCTTGCTGGGGAAGATGGTCTCCCAAGCACATAGTTCTCTAAGTTCCTCCTTCTGATCTCAAGTTTCTCAAATGCATCAGGACCAGATCACCTCTTATTGAAGTTGTTTTTAATAATCATTATTAAGGATCCAATGAAGGTTCCTTGTACAAATCAAAAGGAGGCATGTTCAGTTACTCTTAACTATTCACCGTAATTAGGAAACCCATGTTACAACCTGCCTTCAGCAACAATACTTAATTAAATGATTCTGGTTGTGGTTATGATAGTCCTAAACCTGGAGACTTAATAACAAGCCTTCTTAGCCAAACGATACTCCAACCTATTTTCCCCATGCCTCCATGCATATGAGTACATCTTATGTTCAGTTTTCCACTTGGACATACTAGAACAATAAGATGAAAGAACCCAACTAAGAAACCATGAAAGATGATTTTAAAAAATCAGTCACAAAAGATGATAAAAAGGAGAAAAGAACTACAGAGGTGAGGAAGTAGGTGTGGTAGCAGAAGTAGGGTGAATAAAGAGGAATCCAAAGGCCAGTGAAGAAAAGGAAGCAGAGAAGGATCCTGGGAAGAAATTCAGGTGAGTATCAAATCCCAGCTACTTATTGTTATTGTTATAAATCATTGACAGCCTGCTCACACCTTTCCTTCTTTTTCTGTACTGCAAAATAACCAGAAGCTGCAGAGCAAACAAGGAGGAGAGTGCTAGGAGTCAAAACAATTCATCATCATCATCATCATCATCATCATCATCATCATCATCATCCTTGTAGCTCTTTCTACTACTGCAGAAAGGGCTGGGTTCTACTAACTTTCCTTACTGAGGAAAAGCTCTTCTTTTTCCAAAATTAGAGCTCCAAAAACTGAAAGTGGTTGCCAGGTTCATCGTGTTCAGCCTTGGAAATATTTCTGGTCCTTCCTCAAATCTTTCTGTGGCATCCCACACTCTCACTTTGACCAGGCAAGGGGCTTCTTTCATAGGGAAAATAAATGTGCAGCTACTGAATGCAAACCAGAACAGAATTCCCTGCTGTTAATTCAGAATTCAATGTTTTTCATATGGACAGCTTGTTCTATTTGCTATAAAAGACCAACTTTCATGAAAATATATTTTATTAAATGTCTGTGGAGATTCTTAATAATCCAGGTGAAGAAACTCCAGTTGCCTTTTGAAAAGCACCTTTAGGATATATATTTAGTAATAAGAACACTCTTCTAAAAATGCTGTTGAGTTGGGTTAATAATGTCTGTCTGTCTGTCTGTCTGTCTGTCTGTCTGTCTGTCTGTCTGTCTGTCTGTCTGTCTATCTATCTATCTATCTATCTATCTATCTATCTATCTATCTATCTATCTATCTATCTATCTATCTATCTATCTACCTATCTATCTAGACTATTGGCTAAATAGCCCAAAGATTTTCTTTCAACGTGTAAGAAAATAAGCAGGACTTATCTGTACACACCAAGGATATGTATGCATTTTCTCACTACTCTTATTACAGTTTATATATGTAAATTAGAGGTGCTCATTATGTGTGTAGGGGTTGTAGTGTGGTGGGGAACAAAAAACAACAACCATGCAGTTTGACCTGAGGCCATAATAATTGTGAGACATGTATCACTAGGAAACATCACTGTTTCTACAAATATTAAGATAAGAATGTAAAATTAAGGATTTTAGATGCTGCTGAACTATATTTCCCATCAGAATTATTGCTCTGAAAAATGCTCAGTTAAAAAACTAAGTATTAGTTCTATTAAATCTGAGAATTCTTCAATTCAATACCATAAGGAGGACCACAGATTCCCAATCTCTGCAGGAGGAAAAATATTTATCTGGACTAGAAGACTAAGACAGGAGGTTTAATTCCTTCTTTTCTAACCATGTACTGAAAGCTGGGCTCTTTGAGTTTAAGGCAGTCTTCTTCCCAACCATATTCCTTATAAATGCATTTGACTGATCTGTGAGCAGCAGACTTGTTTATTAGAGTGCTATGAAAGTCTCTCCATATTCTTAACATGGATATCTGTAAATAAACACAAACACTCAGCAATATTTTATGTTCTGATCATTTCTTCCT